TCAGTGTTAGAACCCTAGCTATTCACAATATATATATTAATGATTTAATTGAAGGAACAAGTGCCATATTTCCAGTATAAGACGCCAGGGCCTGACTGAATCTATCCCATGATACTGACTGAAGCAAGGGTGGAAATTGCTAGAGCTTTTTAGCCACAGCTGAGGTTCCAATAAACTGCAGAATAGTCAATGTTGTTCCTTTGTTTAAGAAGGGTGACACAGATAATCCAGGAAATTATAAAGGTGGTGAGCCTTAAATCAGTGGTAGGAAAATTTTTGGAGAAGCTTCTTTGGGATAGAATTTGCCTTACATTTGGAGAAGAATTGACTTATTAAGGACAGTTTTCATGGCTTTATGTAGGTGAGGTCTTGTCTCACAAATCTGATTGAGTTGCTTGAGGAAGTGACAAAGATGATTGAATAGGGAAGGGCAGTAGATGTTGTCTACATAGTCTTCACTACAGCATTTGACAAGGCCCCTCTTGGTGAGCTGATCTAGAAGATCAAATCACATGGAAACCATGGTGAATTGTCATGTTGGATACAAAATTGGCTTGGCCATAGAAGACAGAGGGTAGTTGTGGAGGGGTGTTTTTCTGACTGAAGGTCTGCGGCCAGTGGCGTTCCAGAAGGATCAGTGCTGAGACCTCTCTTGTTTCTAATATATATAAATGATTTAGAAGAAAATATTGGAATTTTCAGGTGATATGAAAATTGGTGGAGATGTGGATAGTGAGGAAGTGTATCAAAGAATGTAGCCAGATATAGATTAGCTGGGAAGTTGGGTGGAGAAATGGCAGAGGGTGAGAGGTGATGCATTTTGGGAGGTCAAATGCAGGAGGAAAGTATGCTGTAAAATGTCTGGGCCCTTAGGAGCATTTATATACAGAGACATCTTGGGGTTCAAGTCCACTCATCCTTAAAGTGGTAACACAAGTAGTTAAGGTGGTAAAGAAAGCCGTCATTGGTCAGTGCATTGAGTATAAAAGTGGACAAGACATGTGACAGCTGTATAAAATTTTCATTAGGCCACATTTGGAGTACTATGCTCAGTTCTGGTCGCTGTACTGTAGAAAGGATGTGGTCTACACGCAGAGGGTGCAGAAGAGGTTTATCAGAATGTTGCCTGGATTGGAGTGTGTTAGTTATAAGGAGAGATTAGACAAACTTGGATTGTTTTTGCAAAAGCATCAGAAGATGAGGGGTGACCTAAAAGAAGCATATAAAATTATGAGAGCCATAGACACGGTGGATAGTCGGAATCTCTTTCCCAGGGTGGAAGTCAAATACTATGGAGCGTAGGTTTAAGGTGAGAGGGGAAAAGTTTAAAGGAGATGTGTGAGGGAAGTTTTTTTTAAAACACAGAGGGTGGTTGGTGCCTGGAATGCACTGCCAAGGAAGGTGGCAAAGTTCAAGGCATTTAGACAGGCACACGAACATGCAGAAAACAGAGGGATACACACCACATGCAGGCAGGTGTGATTCGTTTAGAACAGCATCATGGTTGGCACAGACATGGTGGGCCAAAGGGCTTGTTCTAAGGAGGATGCAGAGATGCTTCAGTGTAATTTGGACACATTCATTTGGCAGATGAAGTATAATGTGATATAGGTGAGGTTATCCACGTTGGTAGCAAAAACAGGAAGACAGATTATCTGAATGGCAACAGATTGTGAAAGGGACAGGTGCAATAAGACCAGGGTGCCCTTGTACACCAACTGCTGAAAGTAAGCATGCAAGTAAGTGCAGCAGGTGGTGAAAAAGGCAAATGATCTTTACAGTGGCAGAATTAGAGTACAGGAGAAGGGGTGTCTTGCTGCAATTGTATATGGCCTCAGTGAGACCACAGCAGTTTTGGTCTCTATCTGAGGAAAAACATTCTGGCTATGGAGGGAGTGCAACAAGTCTGATACCTGGGATGGCAGGACTGACATAAAAGACAGGCTGGATTAGCTAGGACTATATTCCATGGAGTTTGGAAGAATGAAACCTATAAAATTCTAACAGAACTAGATGGGGTAAACATTAGAAGGATGTTCTCGATGACTGAGTGCAGAACCAGGGATCACAGCTTAAAAACATGGCATAGGCCATTTAGGACTTAGATGAGGAGAAAAGTTTTTGATTTAGAAAGTAACAAAACTGGAATTCTCTGCCACAGAAAGTGGTTGAGGCCAAAATACTGAATGTTTTCAAGAAGTCATTAGATAAAGTTCTTGGGCTGAAGAGATCAAAAGATATGGGGAGAAAGCAGGAATAGAGTACAAAGTTAGATGTTTAGCAATAATGATACTGAATAGTGGAGCAAGCTTGAAGGGTTGAATGGTCTATTTCTGCTGATATTTTCTATATTTCTAGGAATGTCAAATACCATGAATATTGAGCCTCAGTCTCAAGCACTCTGTAACTGCATCTGTGCAATAGCTATCAAGTCATATTCATTTATTTCTATTTATGTTATCAACTCATACATCTCATTACAATAACTACATGCAATCAGACAAACAGTCTTAAGTTTGGACTTTTCAACTTTAATCTTTCTGCTGCATGTCTCTGCATATATTTTCTATTGTTCTTCGATTAACATTCGCCTTTTCACCACTCCGCACCTCTGCTGATTCATTTCTTTTAGATTTTTTAAGCTTCCCTTCATCTGAACCCTCAACCTACTAATTAGCTTAAAGCCTTATCTACAACACTAATTACATGATTTACCAGTCCACTGACCCCAGCTTGGTTCAAATAACCTCTCTAATTTTATTTATCCTTTGCCAATTTGCACATGGCTCAGGTAGTAATACAGAAATTATGAAAATGAATGAATATAAATGATTTTACTGTCACGTGTATTTTACAATAAGCATATAGCAAAATACAGTGAAAAGCTTTCGTTTGTTACCACAATTTAGCCTTATTTTGAATAATTTACAAATAAATTATTCTTAAGGGTGGGATAGTGGCTCAGTGGTTAGCACTGCTGCCTCACAACACCCAGGTTCAATTCCACCCTCGAGCAACTGTGCAAACTCCACAAACTCTCCCTGTGTCTGCGTGGGTTTCCTGCAGGTGCTCCAGTTTTCTCCCACAGTCCAAAGATATGCAGGTTAGGTGGATTGGCCATACTAAATTGCCCATAGTATGCAGAGATGTACAAGCTAGGTGGATTAGCCATGGAAAATATAGGGTTTACAGGGATGCTCTTCAGTGGGTTGGTATGGAATTGAAGGGCCAAATGGCCAGTTTCCACACTGTAGCAATTTTATGAAAATGAACTTCACATTCCCACATTATACTCCATTCGCCAACTTTTTACCCACTAACCTATCAAAAATACCCATCTCTAAACTGTTTGCATCCCTCTCGCATCTTTGGCTACAGTATATTAGCTTCCTTCCTCCAAATTATTAACATATTGTAAACAGTTGTGAACCCAACACTGATCCCTGTGGAAACGCACTAGTTACAGAGCACCAACCTGAAAAAGAACCTCTTATGCCCAATTGCTGTTTCCTGCCCATTGGCCAATTCTCCATCCATGGCAATGTACCACTGTCAACACCATGGGCTCTTTTACTGATGAAAGAGAAAGTCTAGGAACTGTTTAACACAGAGAGCTGTGGGGGCAGAGTCCTTGTGTATGTTTAAGGTTGAGAGAGATAGATTCTTGGTCAGCCAGAGAAACTAATGATTATGGAAAAAGTGCAGGAAAGTGGATGTGTGGAACACTGGATCAGCAGTGATTCTATTGGTAGAGCAGGTGGATACCTACTCCTGTTCCTATTTCTTATGGTCTTACTTACTGTCCTCACACTCAGGTCTCACAGGAAGAAACAAGTTGTATGGACTCTCTACCACTGAATTTTCTCTCCCACCATCACTGCCATTCTCACAGAGGTCTGCTTTTCTCATTATGAAGGTGCTGACCCACAATTTCACGTTTTAAGCAGCTCCAATTTCTCTCTATCCTGCTCCTTATGAATCCGCTGTACTAGTGTACTCTCACACTATTTCAGAAGCACAAGCTCCTGCTTTGTCTCGCTCAGCCTGAACAGCCCTGAGGGACTGAACAATAATGGCCTCATAGCACCAGAACATGGGTTCGAGTCCAGCCTTGGGTTTGCGTGGATTTTGCACGCTCTTCCCGTGTATATGTGGGTTTCTGCTGGGTGCTCCAGTTTCCTCCCGAAGCCCAAAGACTAGTCATGGTAAATTGCCCCGTAGTGTCCAGGAATGTGCAGGCTACTTTAGATTAGATTAGATTTAGATTAGATGTAGGATTTATTGTCATGTGTATTCAAGTACAGGGTACAAGAGTATGGTGAAAAGTGTAGAATGTCACAACAAAGTACCTAGGTACAAAATCTTAGTTACAGAAGTAGAAAAATAAAGAGCTAAGTCAAAAAGTTCAGCACTACAGTCTTCTTAGTAAAGAAGTGGAAAATAAAGTAATTAAGTTAAAATGTCAAACATTACAGTCCTTTCTTAAGCCTTGGGCCTGCAGACGCTCCAAGCTGGGTTTTCCCCAAGAGGGCTCTCTCTTCCCTGGGCTGGGCATACAGTGTTGGGTTAGCCATGGTAAATGCAAAGTTACGGGGATGATGTGGGGGGCTGGGTCTGGGTGGTACGCTCTTCAGAGGGTTGTCGTAGACTTGATTGGCTGAATAGCCTCTCTCCCCATTATAGGGAGTCTATGACTCTATGATATACTCCTCTGCACAATGCTACTGCACAATGACAAGGTTCCACACAGTCGATTTGATGGAGGACCTAGATCTATTTAATGCAGGGATTTTCTGGGCTTATTAGGTTTGACCTGCCATTTGCTCAAATGTTTTATGATGTGATGATGACAGCATACAGCACTGGTGATCGTCTTATTTTTCTTGATATTCTCCTTCACGTTTGTTTTCTGTGGCGTACTAACTGCTCAAATAATTCAAGTTCTATAACTCAGACGTATCAGTGTTTAGACAGTAATTTTTGCTCAATTATTGGCTCACCCGGTCAACCATGAAATCGATTGCATCTGCCATTTTTGGATCCACAGGACCAGTTGTAAAATTTCCAAGAACAATCTTCTTCAACATAAATCCAGGCAACAACCAGAAGCTAAAATAAAATTTCATAAATGGGATAAGAGTCACGCCGACAAAACAGCATTAATGCAAATATAAACTCAAAACGTAAAAGCTTAATGGGATGCAGGCTGTGAATTTAATTTTCAGCTGATGCACAAGTAGAAATGTCATCATGAAGAGCCAAACTGAGTGACCATCAGATGTTTCCGCAATTAATCATTTGGGCTAAAGAAAAAAATTAGTAATATTTAAAGGATGCAATGCACTTAGAAATATATATATAATCAAATACAGTCAGCATGGCTTCATGAAGGGGGTGACAAGCATTTCAAATTCTTTGAGGAGGTAACAACAGGATAAAGGAGAACCAGTAGATGTAACATATTTGAATTTCCAAACAGCATTTGATAAAGTACCACACATAAGATTACTTCATCACATAAGGTGTTGAGGTAGTATGTTAGCATGGATTGAAGATTGCCTAATTAGTAGAAAAGTATTAGGATAAAGGAAGCATTTTCAAGATCACAATTTGTAACTAGTGGTTTGCCACAGGAGTCAATACTGGGACTGCAACATATGCAGTATATATGACTTGGATGATGGAAGTGAACACAATTTAGTCATGTTTGCAGATGACACTGAAATAGGTGGGTAGGCAAGTAGGACGAAACAAGGGATTGACAGAGGAATACTGGTAAGTTCAGTAAGTGGGCAAAAACATGGTTTATGGAATATAAAATGGAAATATCTAAGGTTTTGCATTTTGTCAGAAAGAATAGAAGAACTGATTATTATTTAAACGGAGAAAAACTGTGAATGTTGCAGCATGAAGAGATTTGGGGAACGTATGCATGAATTATGCAAACTATCATACAAGTTCTGAGGAAGGGTCACTGCACCTGAAGCGTTAACTCTGATTTCTCTTCACAGATGCTGCCAGACCTCCTAAGCTTTTCCAGCAACTTCTGTTTTTGTTTCCAATTTACAGCATCCGCAGTTCTTTCGGTTTTTATACAAGTTCAGTAGGTATTTAGAAGGCAAATGGAATGTTGGCCATTATTTCAAATGGAATGGAGAATAAAAATGGGAAATGATGCTAAAACTACAAGGCACTAAGGTAAACCACAGCTGTAATACTGTAAATTGTTTTTGTCACCTTACAGGTAGGACGTGTTTTCACTAGAGAGGATGCAGAAAAAAAGTTTGATTTGTCTCCAGAATGCGCAGGCATGTGGGACTAGTTTAGTTTGGGATTATGGTCGACATGGACTGGTTGGACCAAGGGATCTGTTTCCATGCCGTATGACTCTATGCCTGGATAATCATAGCCAGAAGAAAACTTAGTTCAGCTGTTCGTCCTGCTTGCGCAAGTGAGAGAGTTTTAACCCTAAAACCCTGTTGAACCCTAAAATTCAAGAAGATTAAAAACCAGGAGAATCACCTGAGGTGGCTACACTTCAGAGTTTGGTCAGATGTGTTTAATGAGGCGTGCGCAACTGCAGGATGATCAGAAGAGATTTAAAGGGAATAGCGCTGCTGGATGTAAATGGCCAACAGCATCTCAGACACAGTTAAACCTTCTAAATTTTTTTTTGAAAGGTATCTGACTTAAGTTTATTGGGATATTAGTTTTATAAAATCAAAAGAAATGTGATTTCATTTTCGATGTTAAGGAACAGAGTTAATTGTATTTTTAATATCTTTAATGCAACTATTAAAGTTTATTAGTCTCCATGTTTCGATTTGTATTTAGCGAAATCCTGTGGATTTCGAGATCATAAGACATAGGAGCAGAATTAGGTCAATCGGCCATGGAGTCTGCTCTGCCATTCAATTATGGCTGATATGTTTCTCAACCCTATTCACCAGTGTTCTCCCAGTAACCCTTGATCCCCTTACCAGTCAAGAACTTATCTATCTGTGACTTCAATAGATGCAATGACTTGGCTTCCACAGCCTTCTGTGGTAATAAGTTCTACAGATTCACCACCGTCTGGCTGAAGACATTTATCGTCATCTCAGTTCTAAAGGGTCGTCCCTTCATTTGGAGTCTGTGCCCTTGCGTTCTAGTCTTTCCTACAAGTGGAAACACCTTGTCAATGTCCACTTCATCCAAGCCTTGAAATTGTAAGTTTCAATCACATCCCCCCTCATCCTTCCCAGAGTCTTCAACAGTTCCTCATATGACAAGCCCTTCATTCCAGGGATCATTCTTATAAATCTGAAAAACTCCTGTAACCTTTGTTTATATTACTAGCCAGCTTACTCTCGTATTTCATCTTCTCCACCCCATTGCTTTTCTAGTTGGCCTCCGCTGGTTTTTAAAGGCTTTCCAATTTCTCTGGTATCCCACTAATTTTCACCATATTGTATTTGTTTTTTTGCTTATACGCTGACCCTGACTTCCCTCGTCAACCATGTACTCCCCTTAGTATGTTCTTTCTTCCTTGGGATGAAATGCTGCTATGACTCCCGAAATGTGAACCTTGGGGCTTTAATCCTACGTTGCTCTGAATGGAATAGCTTGCTTTGCCATTTTAGAGGGTAATGTAATCAAACTGCTGCGTGTCTGAATAGTAGGTAGGATAATTTGGCATATTTTGTTCCATAAAGGTCATACATGAAACAGGTGGATTTCCATGGCAATACAGTTACAGATACCAGTTCTGATAGCTCTTATTTTTAAACTGAATCTAGATTCACTGTTGCCATGGAGTGATATGAACTCATGTCTCTGGAACACTCAGCCAGTAACATGATGTCAATGTTCCCTGTATTTAATATTAAAGTATCAGAGTAATGAAACAGAGGGCCTTTTGAGCCAAAATAAATTAAAATTGCCCCAAGCTTTTACATTTCTCACATGTCCTCACGTTTTTATTTATTATTTACAAATAGTTATTTGTAGCTACCAGACCAAATTATTGAATTCACAATAGAAACAGCTTATAATGAGATGATAGATGACTGCGCATGTGCTGTTACTGTGCAAGTTATTGCATTCCCCCTAAAACTATGATAACGGTATATTGTCAAGAGGTCCAACACTGAAATCCATGAATGATGTGGAGCTGGTGCATTTATCAACATATATTCTGTTGTTTTAAATAATTTTAAAAGTTTCCGTAACTGAGAAAATTTCTCTGGCACCTAAATTTACTTATTACAAGTCTCATTTCAGATGTTAAATATTGTTGAGGGGAAAAAGAGAGGGGGAGAAGGAACGTGGGGCAATGCAAGATTCTACAATCCTATCATATCTAGATCAGTTCCTGAGATGATTAGAAGTAAATGATTAGATTGGGACATAACATCTTTAATACATTAATTTCTTACCTGCTAGCAGTCCAAGACTGGTTGAAGATAGATGTATCACTGAATGAGTTACACAAGATAAGAGAATGAACTCTGGGTGATTTGTGTGCATATTCTGCAAACTTCTGTGCCAAAAATCCTCCCAAGGAAGCACCAAAAATGTGAACCTGCACAAGTGAAATTTGGCTGATATTAATTTATTGTACCTTGCAGCTATTCTACAGTGTAGCTTTTTAGAGGAATTCTGTTTTATCTTACTTTATTCACTTTGGAAGGAGTAACAGGAATACAGAGTACTGGGCTAATGGTAAGATTCTTGGTAGTGTGGATTAGCAGAGAGATCTCGGTGTCCATGTGCATAGATCACTGAAAGTTGCCACCCAGGTTGATAGGGTTGTTAAGAAGGCGTACAGTATGTTAGGTTTTATTGGTAGAGGGATTGAGTTTCGGAGCCATGAGGTCATGTTGCAGCTGTACAAAACTCTGGTGCGGCCGCACTTGGAGTATTGCGTACAGTTCTGGTCACCGCATTATAGGAAGGATGTAGAAGCATTGGAAAGGGTGCAGAGGAGATTTACCAGGATGTTGCCTGGTATGGAGGGAAGGTCTTATGAGGAAAGGCTGAGGGACTTGAGGCTGTTTTCGTTAGAGAGAAGGTTAAGAGGTGACTTAATAGAGATATACAAGATGATCAGAGGATTAGATAGGGTGGACAGTGGGAGCCTTTTTCCTCGGATGGTGGTGGCTAGCACGAGGGGACATAGCTTTAAATTGAGGGGTGATAGATATAGGACAGATGTCAGAGGTAGGTTCTTTACTCAGAGAGTAGTAAGGGCGTGGAATGCCCTGCCTGCAAAAATAGTAGACTCGCCAACTTTAAGGGCATTTAAATGGTCATTGGATAAACATATGGATGATAATGGAATAGTTTAGGTTAGATGGGCTTCAGATTGGTTTCACAGGTCGGCGGAACATCGAGGGCCAAAAGGCCTGTACTGCGCTGTAACGTTCTATGTTCTATGTTCTATTTATCAAAAGCTACAGCCAGTCTAGAAACATATCATTCAACCCATCAGCATTTATGTTTTACTCAGCTTCTTTCATTTAACTCAATACACATATCTTCATTCTGTTGTGATAGTGATTTTCATATTTCTTTTATGGTTTGGGAAATATCCTCCTGAATTCCATATCAGGCATATTAGTAGATCTCGGCCCCTGTAGTTGTGGCCTAGTGGTTAAGGCAATGGATTAGAAATCCATTGGAGTTTCCCCACGCAGGTTCAAATCCAGAATCCCTACAGTGTGGTAACAGGCCCTTCGGCCCAACAAGTCCACACCGACCCTCAGAGCATCCCACCCATTCCTCATAACCCACCTAATCTTCACATCCCTGAACACTACGGGCAATTTAGCATGGCCAGTCCATCTAACCTGCACATCATTGGGCTGCAGGAGGAAACCAGAGCACCCGGAGGAAACCCACGCAGACACAGGGAGAATGTGCAAACTCCATACATTCAGTCGCCCGAGGGTGGAATTGAACCTGGGTCCCTGAAGCTGTGAGGCAGCAGTGCTAACCACTGTGCCACACATTTAGATTTGCACTTGCATATACGGTTATGGACCAATGACTAGAAAATAGGATTAAAATAACTGAGAGGTTGTTTTTAACCAGCACGAACATAATGAGCCTTTTACTGTGCTGTAGATCTCTCTGACTCTGTGACCTCCTTATTCTTCCCATACAGAAGCATCACTTCACATTTATCTATATTTCAGCTCATTTTACAAATAAAATTCCACTTTCAAGTTTATTTATGTTTTGTGGTTGGTTGGCTCACCGAGCTGGTTCATTGTTCCGGAGACGTTTCATTACCCTGATGGGAAACATCATCAGTGCAGCTTCTGATGTGGCACTGTTGTGTTTTCCCGCCAGATACTTAAACTCTGGTGTCCATTGAGCTGGGTTACCTCACTTCCGGTTTTCCTTTGCAGTGGAGTATATACAGGATCTGCTCTATGTGTTTGTTGACAGCCTTCTTAGTGGAGAACCAGGTCTGTAGGAATTCCCATACTTGTCTCTGCTTGGCCTAAATAACAGGCAGGAAAACACAACAGCACTTCATCGGAGGCTGCACTGATGATGTTACCCAGCAGGGTAATGAAACATCTACAGAACAACAAACCAGCTCAGTGAGCCAACCAACCACAACCCGAGCTACAAATCTACTCAAAAACCTTATATATGTTTTCTTGTATTTTGTTACATTATTACTTTGTACTAATTCCATATCCAATTTGATCCATCAGCAAGTTTAGAATTTGTACATCTGATTCCAGAGTTCAAATCACTAACGTATCTCGTGTCTAATGAAGTTAACACAACACCACTTGTACTGACCTTATCCAATTGAAGATGATCTAAAAGCTTCCTGAATCCATCACAAAATTCAAGGAGGTCCCAGTATACAGGATACTGTAGCTGTGAGAGAATTTAAATAGTAAAATAGAACTTGTGGAGTTAAAAGAAATGTGCAAAAGCTGTAGAATTTGCAATAGGAATAAAAGCCATTTGGCTCAATCTTCCTGTACGGATGCCAGTTCCTCAACCACAGCATTCTATTGATATTTTGACAAATTGAAAAAAACTTCAATACATATACTTAGCATATATTTAGTGTTATTTCCTGTTTTAAAAACACAAACAGTTTGACAAAGATAACTGTTATAATCACGTGTGGACTTAGCAGTAACCTTCCAGAAGTTTCTGTAGAAGTCAAAGTCAGCCAGACAATCAACATCTCATGTATTTCCCAGTGAGACTGGAATGCCAAATTATACGTGTAGTATGGGATCCACAGCGTGTCTTTTAGAAAATTACAGCACTAAAGACAGCTATTTAGCCGATTAAGTCTTTGGTGCTCTTAAAGAAAATCAAAAGGGAAGTTAGAACCACTCCCTGCGATTTTATTCATAAAGGATTAATCAAATTCCCTTTCAAAGGCTACTATTAATTCTGTTTTCACCAACAGTGGATTTCAAATCTTAAAGCAACATTGCATAATAAGGTTTATAAGTGGAGTCAGGGCACCACTTTTAATAATTGGATAATTGATCCCTTTAAACAAGGACCCTTATGCTTAAACAGTAACTAGCCACACCCTGCAACAGAGAGGAGGCATTTCTGGATTATGGCATCCAAGAGATGGTGCCAAACTATTTAGGAAACATGGAGAGAGATAAAAGTTAAAAGACCGTATTGAACGCTAGAGGTTATAAAAGTAGTTATAAACCTCCTTTTTAAATTGAAAGTGAAAAGTAAAAACCTGAATGGGAATGTTATGTCCAAAGATGTGCAGGTTAGGTGGATCAGCCATGCTAAATTGCCCATAGTGTCCAGGGATGTGTAGGTGAGGTGGATTAGCCACGGGAGGTGCATGGTTCCAGGGATAGGGTGAGATGCTCTTCAGAGGGTCAGTGTGGACTTGTTGGGCCGCATGGCTTGTTTCCACACTGTAGGGATTCTATGATTCTATGAACTCTAGCTGGTAACAGATCCATGTGATTTGCTTATCATGGAGACAGGGGTCCAAGACAAGTCTTATTGAATTCAAGTACCAGAACCCAAAGAGTAAAGCAGCTGTTTTCAATGCTTCAGTGAGGGATTGCAAGCAAGTCAGACAAAAATCGGGTGATACATTCAATATCACCCAGAAAAGCTGCTCTGGGGTTAATCAACATCAGAAGAGGTGTAAACAACCCAGGGTCACATCATACCTGTAAGAAGAGTTGAAAAAAGTCAAGACATTTGCTTTAAGAAACTCTGGATGCAAGTCTCCAAAGGCTGCAATAGTCAGAATATTTGACTTTGAAGACACTGCTTCCAGGATTCTCTACCATAACCAAGTTATGCATAGTCAACCACTGAAGGGTATGAAGGAAGAGATGCTGACAAAGTGATTGATTGGACAATCCACTGCTGTGTAGAGTTGTGATGTAGGCACCAGCAAATATTATAGGAGACAGACTTTTTTAAAAATCAATTTAAGGTTACTGTTTGCACAATAATAAAAATGCATTTCTTCCTTTCTTCTAACGTATATGCGTTTTTTCCTTCCAACATGGATTTTTACATGTTATTATTGTTATAATTTATAATTGTTGTTATAATGGATATATCATTGCATTTAGTATCATCTGTAACATTTCTAACATCCAGAGTACAAGAAGGAGAAATCATGCTTAACAAATCTGTGGAAATTCTATGAAGATGTAACTAGTAGACTTGACAAGGGGGAGCCAGTCAATGAAGTATATTTGGATTTTCAGACATGACAAAGCCCCACATAAGAGATTAATGTACAAGATTAAAGCGCCTGGGATTGGGGGAAGTGTACTGAGATGGACAGAAAACTGGTTGGCAGAGAGAAAACAAAGAGTAGGAATTACTTTACAGATTGGCAGGCAGTAACTAGTGGGGTGCCACATAGATCGTTGCTGGGACCCAGCTATTCACAATATATATTAATGATTTGGATGAGGGAACAAATGTAACATCTCAAAGTTTGCAGATGACACCAAGTTGGGTGGGAGGCTGAACTGTGATGAGATTGCATAGATCCTTCAGCATAAGCTCGACAGCCTGGGTGAGTGGGCAAGTCAAAGGCAGATGCATAAAATTTGGATCAATGTGAGGTTATTCACTTTGGAAGCAAAAACAAGGCAGCAGATTACTACCTGAATGGCTGTAAATTAGGAGAGGGGAGTGTGCAGCGGGACCTGGGGATCCTTGTGCACCAGTTGCTGAAGGTAAGCATGCAGGTGCAGCAGGCAGTAAAGGAGGCAAATGGTATGTTGGCCTTCATTGCAAGAGGTTGAGTACAGAAACAGGGATGTGTTATTGCAGTTATACAGGGCCTTGGTGAGGCCACACAGTTTTGGTCTCCTTTTCTGAGGAAGGATGCTCTTGCTCTTGAGGGAGTGCAGCAAAGGTTTACCAGGCTGATTCCAGGGATGACGGGTCTGACATATGAGGAGAGATTGACTAGGTTGGGATTGTTCTTGCCAGAGTTCAGATGAATGAGGAGGGATCTCAGAGACTTAAAAAATTCTAACAAGACTAGACAGGGTAGATGCAGGGAGGATGTTCCCAACGGTGGGTGTGTCCAGCACCAGGGGTTGCAGTGTGAGGATTTGAGGTAGACCATTTAGGACGGAGATGAGGAGACATTTCTTCACCCAAAGAGTGGTGAGCCTGTGCAATTCATTACCATAGCAAGTAGTTGATGCCAAAACATTGAATGTATTAAAGAGGTGACTAGATATAGCACTTGGGGCAAATGGGATCAAAGGTTATGGGGAGAAAGCAGGATTAGGTTACTGAGTTGGACAATCAACCATGATCGTGAAGAATGGTGGAGCAGGGTTGAAGGGCCTCCTCCTGCTCCTATCTTCTATGTTGCCATGACTCTGGAAAGGCCTATCACCCTATTTACTTTTGGCAAGCCAACCAGCAGCCTAAAACTTACATAAATAAGGCTATAGAGAAATACCTAAGAGTTAGGTTAGCCCTAAAGGAAGGTGGGTTTGACTCATTGAGAAGTTGGATGATTCAGCCTATGAGGCCAAGAGAAGAGGAAATAGGAGGTCGAAAGTATCAGCATCTAAATCAGTGCTATTAAAAGCAGTTTGAGTATTCGGAACACAGGAAATTAAACATTAAAACAAAGACGGTGAAGCAGTCAAGAACGCGACTTGGATGCTCTGGGTGAATTTTCAAGTAATCATGGGATACTGGATTAGATTGCATGTGGACTATAACGTCTTCCTGGGTTAAACTGCTCCTGAAGAATAAGCAACTTCCACATTAACCTATTGCTGTCGAGCTGATTTCCAGGTTGGACGGCTCATGAAGCATAGGTGATTTCACCTCCGGCAAGTATTTTGGAATTCTGTGTTCAATTCAGGTTTCCCTGTTATAGGAAGGAGGTTGTGAAACTTGAAAGGGTTCAGAAAGGATTTACAAGGATATTGCCGGGGTTGGCAGGTTTGAGCTACAGGGAGAGACTGAATAGGCTGGGACTATTTTCCCTGGAGCATCGGAGGCTGAGGGGTGACCTTACAGAGGTTTATAAAATCATGAGGGGCACGGATAGGGTGAATAGCGAAGGTCAATAGCCAAGGTCTCTTCCCCAGGTTAGGGGAGTCCAAAACTAGACAGCATAGGTTTAAGGGACGGGGGAAAAGATTTATAAGGGACCTGAGGGGAAACTTTTTCACACAGAAGTTGGTGCGTGTATGGAATGAGCTGCCAGAGGAAGTGGTCGAATCTGGTACAATTACAACATTTAAAAAGCATCTGGATGGGTATGGGTCAAATGCTGGCAAATGGGACCAGATTAAATTAGGATATCTGGGTGGCATGGACAAGTTGGATCGAAGGGTGTATTTCCATGCAGCACAGCTCCATAGCACGAAGATAGGAAGACAGGGAGCCAGAGGGAGACAGTAAGACACACAGATATATTGAGATGGAGGGAGGGCGGGGGGAGGCGCGGAGTCGGGGGTGGCGGGAGACGGGGAGGGGAACGGGAGGCGCGGAGAGGGGAAGGGACAGAGACACAGAGAGATAAAAACACAGAGAAATCAGAGTTAATGTTTCGCATCTGGTTAGGAAGGGTCACTTGACTGGAAGCAATAACTGATTTCTCTTCACAGGTGATGCCAGACCCTGTTGAACTTTTCCAGCAACTTCTGTTGTTGTTTCAGATAGAAAGAGAGACACACACAGATAGAGAGAAAGAGAGAGAGAGAGCGCGAGTGAGAGACACACATAGACAGACAGATGGATACAGAGAGAGAGAGAGAGAGAGACAGCAAGAGCGAGCGAGGGAGAGACAGCGAGACAGAGAAAGTGACAAACAGACACACACACAAAGAGAGAGACAGCGAGAGGAGAGAGAGAGAGAGAGAGAGACACAGACAGCGCGAGAGAGACAGACAGACAGCGAGAGAGAAAGAGAGGGAGACAGACAGACAGCAAGAGAGACAGAGAGACAGACAGCGAGACAGAGATAAAGAGAGACAGAGAGACAGCGAGAGAGAGAGAGAGTGACAGACAGACAGCAAGAGAGAGAGAGAGAGAGAGAGAAAGAGAGAGACAGACAGCGAGAGAGAGAGAGAAAGAAAGAGAGAGAGAGAGCCAGACAGCGAGAGAGAGAGAGAGAGAGAGAGAGAGAGAGAGAGAGACACAGACAGAGAGCGAGAGAGAGAGAGAGAGAGAGAGAGAGAGAGAGAGAGAGAGAGAGAG